TTGTTACATTTTCCTCAAGGTTGCCTTGAATGTTCTGTTCGCTCAATAAAAGTTAAATAAACTCTAACATGTTCATTTTAGTCCTTTTTTTGTTTTTGTTTTTTAATATTTACTAAATGATTGTTTAAAAGAAAAACGAGGTTTCAGTGTTTTGGTCACAGAAATCTGCGTGGAGCTCGAGCCTCTCCCGCTCCTCCTCGTCCAGCAGGAAGCTGTCGATGTAGGAGAACAACTCATCTGAAGACACCGGGACGATGAAGCGCTCTCGGTCCAGACCCAGTTTGTCCAGCAGCAGCATGCTGAAGTAGGTCCTGGAGATCCTGAACACCTGCCTGTAGAGAAACGATCACATGGTTGATGTAAACACCAGATTCAGCCGCTAAAAGGGCCAACATCAGACAATCAGGTGTTTCCAGAACAAGAAAAACTGCTCTGACCTGAACGCAAAGTTCATGAAGGAGGTTGAAAATCAAGAGTTAGTTCATACTCTGAACTCTATGTCTGAAAATGACATCATGTGGACATGTATGAAGGATGTTACACAGCTGAGAGAAGAACTTCCCATTTAAAATGACAAAGAAAAAAMGCTATTTGTAAAATACTGCAACAGTATCATGATTCAGGACCAATCAGTGCCCAAGTCATGAACTATGTCAAAAATAATTCAAATTATTCCAGTAGATGCAAAACATTTCTAAACAAGCAGTGAGCAGTTAGTTAAAAGTTTAGTAAAACAGGGAAGTTATTAAATCACTGATGCYGAGAGGAAGATTTCATCATTCACCACAGTTAATCCACTTTTTAAAGCCAGATCATTAATTTGTGCAGCTTTAGTCCTGTGAGCGGTCAGGTTTATGTTTCAGGGCAAAAACAGAGCATGGAAAAGTTTCCTCTGGAAACACAGAGAGGCGTCTTTTTCTCTCAAATTTCAGAAATGCTGGAAAAATAAAAATCTGTGCTCTTTCTAAAACGAATAAGCTTCTTTATTAGGGGTGTAAACAAATATTGATACAGAGAAATATTTCCTGTCCTGATACTGTATAGATTTTTTATTACGATGTAAAGATGTAAGAAGTTTTTCTCTGATTGTATAAAAATAAACAGAATTTTAATTTATGCATGAATCTTTTGGAGAAAAAAAAACGGCCTTGCTCACAATATTACGATATATCATATGATACTGTATTGTGATATGTATCATATCACCAAATTCTTGCCAATACATAGTACTATTCTGTGTATTTGTATTTTATCTAATGATAAAAGTTAATTTTCAAAAGAAATACATCGACATCTCTGTTTCATCAAAAAAACTGTTTCCTTTAACGTCTGCCTCACCATACTCTTATTTGTTCCATTTATGCTACGTTTAGCTTTAGCTTTTAGCTACCACTTTGCATTTTTTTTTATTTTATTTATTAACCAGGAAAATCCCACTGAGATCTGAGATCTCTTTTGCAAGCAAGGCCTATGCCTTAAGACAACCAAATTTTAGCTACAACGTTGCTATTTTTAGCTACTATTTTGCTCATTTTAGCTTTAGCACCTGTTTTGCTACTTTAGCTGCCTTAGCATTTGTCTTGTTTTTTCTACATTAAATATCTGTTTTGCTAATTTTGGCTACTGTCCTGTTGCTTTCAGTTTCAGCTACAACTTTGGATACTTTTAGCTTGTTTTTCTGTTGCTTTTAGCTTCTGTCGAGTTTGCTTTGTCATTTTAGCCTCTACCTGCCCTCAACACTAACAAGTATTTTAGCAGAAAACACATTCTCTCCAGTTCTTCATGGTGTTTTTAGGTCCTTTTAAAGTGTCATCAGTTTTATCCTGCACTGCATTTAACCTGGTCAAACTTTGGAGCAGAGTTTTTTCTTTTGAAGTCAAACAAACAGAGACTCTCTTTTATTAGTAGATTTGACTTTTAAAGAGCGAGATACAACTGGTCCTTACTGTTAATAAGATGAGAAACCATAATAAAAAATTGCTTCAAGATGGAAACTTTTACACAGACTTGCTCTCCTGAGTCCCACCTCAAACCCTCGATGACGTCAGAGTGAAGCAGATTTTCTTTAATGCGGCCCGTCTCTCGAGGCGGGGAGCCAAGGAGTTCGATGACGGTCACCTGTCGCAGGTCTAACCCACAGTCCGACTTCTGGTGGAGGAAAATAAAACAGACATTTAGAGGCTTTGTGGTYTGTAAAGTTTTATAAAAACTCTTTCTGGTGATGAGGTTTGCTCACTTGTATCATGATGTTCTGCAGCTGGTAGTCTGGGTCAGATATGTTGGGCGCCGACAGGATCAGCAGCCTCCTCTTTTCATAAAACTGATCCAGGAGAGCCGAGGCGGTCTTCACATCATAAGTCATCTCCATCGCTGCAAATACAAAAAAAAAAAACCCTAAGCCCTATTCTGATGGGATAAGAATTGTCTGGGGACCCCATGTAATAAATAAATTACTCTGTGTTTTATTAGGCGCATTCGCAAGAAATAACCAAAGCCTGAGATTTTCCTGAAATTTACAGACATCTCCTGAATGTGATATTGAAGTTGGTTGTTGTCTATTTAGTTGAACATGGCGTTAAACGGACGTTTAAAAAAAAAACAAAAAACATCAAGTTCTCCACTTTATCCGCTCTCCTTTCCTCTTGCTTTACAGCAGGCACTGTCATCTCCACGGATGACAGACCCCCACCCGCGCGCCGCAGYCTTTGTGKGCAGTCTKTTTGTCAAGCTTTTGCTCTCCTACCTACAGCATTTTCACAACTTGTAAAGTGTACTTMCACGTGTCATTTTSGAGAAAACAAGGTAAACGCAAAGTATGAAACACCTCCACTGCCGGCGAGGGTGCGYRCRMTCCAGAGCGCGACCATAACTCAGCCTTTAGAATCATATGGATGAGATGATTCCATCGGTCATGACTCTGCTTTGGGTGGACTGGACTGAGTCCTGATGGGTCTGCCAGCTCCCTCTGGAAAGCTCCTGTGGAACCCCAGTTCAATCACTGCTGCTGCACGTGCACGCGTGGCGCACGCGGCTACTCGCTGCATCGCGCTGCCAGAGCGCAGCAGTGCCAAACTAAAAAATGATTTTTCCTCAAAACGGCTGATGAGCCACTCGTCATCAGAAAATTCTATCTGTTTATAAATAAAWGCTCTGYGTGWTACACTATTTATTATATCCTCMAGTAAGGCTGAATCTGTTCCTGTTAAATGTATTTTTGGCACAACTTTGCGCATCCTTTATTTAAATGTGTCCATGTGGATGTAATAATTGTTAATCATCAAAAAGAAAAAAATTGTATAGGTCTTCTGGACGGGTTCTTCTCTAATGAAACGTTTCGTCTCTCCTCCAAGAGACTTCTTCAGTCAGAGAGTTTCAGGCAAAATTCAGGCTTTTCAGCCCTGCCTCCATGTGACTGATACTCACATCACATGGCTATCGTTGACACCTAATTAACACTTGTTAACAGTGGGTGGAGTGAGACACACACAACAGGCCCTGGAGCAGTGTGGTTATCCTGACTGGGCTTTCTTGAAAGCAGACAGGAAACACAGACAGGACTCCATGCAACCTTCAGGTGAAAATGAAGACCCCAAACCCAGACCCAAACCAGTGGTTATTCCGTATGTTGCGGGTGTTTCGGAAAAACTGAGACGTTTATTTTCTAAACATGATGTCCCAGTGGCTTTCAAACCCCAAAACACATTACGGCAAAGGCTGGTTCACCCCAAAGATCCGGTGCCCCGGCACAAACAGAGCAATGTTGTATATGCTGTTAAGTGCCAGGAGGACTGCGACCAGTTATACATCGGGGAAACAAAGCAACCACTGTTCAAAAGAATGTCCCAACACAGACGAGCTACATCTAATGGCCAGAACTCTGCAGTTTTCACTCATTTACAGGCCAGCGGTCACTCTTTCAGAGATGAGGATGTTCTCATTCTTGATAGAGAGGAACGTTGGTTTGAGAGAGGAGTAAAAGAAGCCATTTTTGTGAAGAAAGACCGTCCATCATTAAACAGAGGTGGAGGCCTCCGTTTTCAGTTGTCCCCCTCCTACAGCGCGGCTATTGCCAGTATCACTCCACCCCCTGTTAACAATAAGTGTTAATTAGGTGTCAACGATAGCCATGTGATATGAGTATCAGTCACATGGAGGCAGGGCTTAAAAGCCTGAATTTTGCCTGAAACTCTCAGACTGAAGAAGTCTCTTGGAGGAGAGACGAAACGTTTCATTAGAGAAGAACCCGTCCAGAGGACCTATACAATTTTTTTCTTTTTGATTTTTTACCTGGATTACTGAGATGCATCAGGACAATTGTTAATCATGTGTGTCTGCTGTGAACAATAACCATTTTCACATCAGTAACAGATTCTCAGAATCACCTCTAAGTGTCACCAATGGAACCAAAACCACAGAAACGTGAGTACACCAGCCCTGGAGTTGGCGTGGGGCTGCGCACATTTCCATGTTCAGTTCAGTTTTGATACATCCAGAGTTTTGCGTGGATAATGACGTACGCAAGGTTTTTGTGCGTACGCACCGTTGATACATGAGACCCCAGCTCAGGCTCCTTCCCAACCACAGCGGTGACATTCCACGTCCCTTGAGCCAGCTTCTGTAGCCGAGGATCGGACCGCCAAGGTCCTCGCCCTCGACCACTGCCCAACACATACTGCACCCGACCCCTACGGCCCCTCCCACAGGTGGTGAGCCCATGGGAAGGGGGACCCACATCTTCTCTTCGGGCTGTGCCCGACTGGGCTCCATGGGAAAAAACCTGGCCACCAGGCGCTCGCCAACGTGCCCCACCTCCAGGCCTGGCTCCAGAGTGGGGCACCGGTGACCCGCATCCRGGCAAGGGAACGCTGAATCCATCCATCGTGTTCATCATAGGGGTCTTTGGGCTGCACTTTGTCTGATCCCTCACCTAGGACCTGTTTGCCTTTGGTGACCCTACTGGGGGCATGAAGCCCATGAAAACATAGCTCCTATGATCATGGGGACACTCAAACCTCTCCACCACAATAAGGTGGCAGCCCAAGGACAGTGTTTAGTGGGTTAGTTTGCAAAGCTAATTTTTTAGTTGGCAGATTGGTGGTCAGTGAAGCAAACTTTTTAACTTTAAGAATGCAGTTTCATTTGTCAAGTGTTTTTTACATTTTTAACTCCTGTAAGTACGTTCCACGTTGATGTCCAAACTTACGAACACACTCGGCGGGGCCTTCGCTCCAGTTGCGGTTTAGCTGGCAGACCCGACTGGACGTCCCCCTGACCTCGTAGCCTCCATCGCAGTGATACTCACAACTTGCTCCGTAGTTATTCCCGTCAGAGGAACAGTCGAGGTAGCCGTGCAGAGGCGGAGGTAGTTCAGGACACCTTCTCACTAGAAGGAGAAAACAAAGGGAGGGGGGATGAAATAATGCCGGACTCGACTCGGCTTTTAGTTTTTCAATTTATTTTCTGAGCAAAAAACATTCTTACCCTCAACACGTACAATGAACTTGCAGGCGGCTCTGTTCCTGGCCTGGTCGTACACTGTGTAGCGGATGATGTTTAGTCCCTCTTGAAACTCAGTGCCCGGCTCCTGACCRGATAAAATCACACTGCAGACAAAGAACAGGAGGTCTGGTGTTGATTTTAGAGGTAATCAGTTGGAGATCTAACGATCACCCTGAAAGATTCATTAAAATCCAACCAGTCTGCTATGAGATATTTTACTAACAGACACAAACACTGCTAATGACATACTTGAGGTATTTGTCAGCTGTGTCTCTGGCGGCGGGGGGCTCCCAGGTCACAGTGGCGGTGAGCTTTCCGGGCTCGGCCACCTTGAGTCTGGATGGTGGACATTTGATCTTTGGAGGGTCCAGATCTGAAAGAACCGAAGCAAAGTAAAACTGGAAACAGATTTTCAGGATCACTGAACTAAAGACCGAAAAACAGGCTGCAGTTTGGATCCACCCCAAACAGAAGAGCGGGGGAAATATGATTGTTTTTCTTCGATTGTTAAAGTTCTCCGACAGCTGAGTGGTTTATTAAAGAACGATGGGAAAGACTACACAAATTATATTTTTGTACAAATACAAGAAGAAGCTAAAATACAGTTGTTGTAGCAGAACACTAGCTAAAAGCTAAAAGGAGCAAAATGCTAAAAGAAAACACTATACTGCAAACTACACCACAAAACACTAGCTAAAAGTAGCAGTACATGTGCTAAAAGCTAAAAGTGTCAAAACACTAAATAAAACCAAAAGAAAGCAGGTTAGCTAAAAAAGAAGCTAAATACCAGCGAAAAACCAAAGGTAGCAAAATATTAGCTAAAAACTGAGAGTAGCAAAAGGTTGTCTATAGGTAACAGAACCCTTGCTATAAGCTAAAAGAAACAAAACACTAGCTAAAAGTAGCAGAACATTACCTAAAAACAAAAGTAGCAAAAACTTAGCTAAAAGCTAATTGTCACAAAAGGCTATCCAAAAGCTAAAAGTAGCAAAATACTATCTAAAAGCTAGATGTAGCAACAGGATAAAAAAGCTAAAAGTAACATAAAGCTAATAAGCTAAAGCAGATTTTAAAGACAACATTGTTTGTGGGACTTAAAGATGAATGTATTTCATTGAGGAAAACATTTGGAAATAAATTTAAATAAATATATAAAAGTTACAAAAACAAGCAGTCAGCCCAAATGTCCTGAACGAGCTGAAGGTTTTGATATACGCGCAGCTAAAGTAGCACAGAGTCTACAGAAAAACATTTGAAAATAAAAAAAAAAGAAAATCCTACAAACCGATTCAGACAGACTGATTATTTGTCGTACCTGCACATTCGGGCTGCGTCCCGCTCCATGAGCCCTTGGGCTGGCAGGTGCGGGAGTGTTCCCCCTCGATCCGGTAGCCAGGGGCGCAGGTGAAGTCACACCTGGAGTCCACGACGAAGCCCCGAGTGCAGCTGTACCTGCCGTGTGGGATGAGGGGCAGCACGTGACAACGGATCTCTGAGGAAACATGATTATAAATGTGACAGTATAACAACAATTTAATCAATCATTAAATAATATTATGGGCCTCAGGTTTTAATCAAAAGCTTGGTAGTAATAAAGTTTGGTAGTAATAAAGTTTGGTAGTAATAAAGATTTGATTTGATTTATTTATTTAACAGGAAAAGATTACTAAAAATCAAGCCTGACTCAGCATAATTGCTGTTTTACAGCAGGTTCCTGTTCTGCAGCACATAAAACACTCATTTCCTTGATAATTTAACTGGAGGTGACCCCTACAT